TGGGGATGTTCACCACCATGCCCGTCTTCGCAACGTACCCCGCGATGCCTGTCCCGGCGGCCATCACCACCACCTTGCCGTCCTCGAAGTGCGCCTCCAGCGTGCCGTTGCCCTTCACCAGAAAGATGCTGCACCGGTCGCTCTCCGTCAGCGTCTTCGCCGTGTTGATGATGGACTGCACCAGCACCGCCTCGTCCAGCGTGTCGCGGGCCAGCCGGGTCGCCATGCCCACCATCGCCTCCGCCTCCTGTGCGGCGAGCTCCTTCACCAATAGCGCTTTCACGTTTTTGAGAGCGACGGTGACGCCGCGCAGCAGGCGCGCGAAGACCGACGTGGCGCACTGCGACGCGGCACCGCCGGGCACCTCCACCGCGCCCACAAACTCTGTCCTCGCCCAAATTGGGATGTACAACACGTTGGAGATGACGAAGGTCTCGTGGGACTGAGAGGTCTTGCCGATTGGCGTAGAGTCATCCAGAGGCGACGCGACGCCGTTCACCGGGTCAAAGAGAAGGTGGTCATTCGAGTTCACCACAAACGTGTGCACCTCTCGTGCGTGAAGGGCAGCTGCAAGGTGGCCGTTCAGGCAGTGAAAGACCTCCTTCGTGCTCATCGTGCAGTCACAGCACTTCTCAACGAACGACATCACCTCCTCATCAAACTGAAGGACACTGCCCGCCTGATCGAGGTCGCGTAAAAAATCGTCGCTGACGTTTTGCTGGGCCGCCGTCCCGCCCGCCGCGTCGTGTGCGGCGTCAGGGCATGCATCGCGCAAGACCTTCAGCGCCTTTAGCTCTGACGAAGAGAAGGTGCATCCGGTGCGGCGATAGCGAGCCAAGATGGACTGGCACAGCGCCACGGCTTCGCCCAGATGACTCGATCCATCTGCTGGGCGTTGCGCGAGGGAATATCCATTGGGGGGTGAGTAATACATGATGAGCGGACAGCTTTTATGAACGACGCTGAGCACACGGTTCTGATGAAGAGGGGGAAGAATTTGTGTCGGCAGGAATGCAGTCCAGATGGGAGCACGGGCACCTTGTTAGTGATTCTCAGCTTGAATGTGGGGACTGTCGGTTGTGAAAGATGCCAATGTGCATTTGTCCGATCATAAAAAGAAGAGACGGATTGCGGAATAAGGAGTAGTTGGGTGGCCGTGAGAACAGCAGCAACGACAGAGTGTTGAGTCCTTTGATGAATAGCCACCTGTAACGCTATCCCCGGTAACGCCGGCCAGCGTGCGTCTCGACCCACTGACAGTGTCACCAATGCCCTTCACCGCAGCACATCAGTTATCAGATCAGGCAGCTAAACTTCGTGCGAGTAAGGTGTGCGTAGAGAGCGGTGCATTGACGCCGGCGGCGTGTGTGCCAACAGAAAGGTGCAAAGTACGTCGCCCCATTGAAACTTTTATCATTGTTGTGGTGGTGCAGTTCTGAGTTCAGTTTCTATGTCTCCTTCTATAGTTATGTATCAGTATGTATATGCATATTTGCCGCGTCACAGTAAATATATATTTGCGAAGAAAGAAGAAAAGAAAAGCTGCGAGTCACATGCTTTCCGCTTCCCCTAAACGGCGTTTAACGCCTTCTATTCAATCTTTCGAATTTCACAGCACCTGAAAGCACGGGGAAAACACTTTGGTGTTGTTGCTTTTGGCTGTTGTCTAAGGTGTCACATGGAGCCGCTCAGCAGCGCACGAATGCTCGCTGTGAAATCCGCGTTGCGCCTCGGAGGAACGCAGGGGGGAGCCTGGGCTGTGGTGATGGGCAGCACCTTCCTTCGCGCTGACGAGTGCTTCGTGACAAGCTTTTGCACGCGTGCCTCTGCAGGCAACATCGCCGCTGGGTCAGTGAGGCGACTACGTGCGCTGCGACGCTTCTCTGACCTGCCTTTCCTCGCTGGAGCAGCCACTTCCCTCTCTTCGCTGTTCTCCACATGATCCTCGTCGAGAGCAGCTGCATAGGCATCTGCTGCCTCCTCTTCCTCCGCCCCGACCTCCTCCACTGCCATGAAATCCTCCGCGCTCAACTCGCTCTCCACCGCCGCCGCCGCCATGGAGGGCTGCAGTACGCGTGACTTCTTTGTCGACGAAGTCCGCCGTACCGCCGCCACCTCCATCTCCTTATCTTCACTCTCCTCAACCGCTGTCTCTGCCTCTACCGCGCGCCGCTTCTCCTCTAATTTCGTGGAGCTGGCCGCAGACCGCACGTTCTTCTTTGCTCTTGAGAGTGCGGACGTCCTCGTCATGGGAGAAGCAGCTTCCCTCTCTGCCGTGCGCGACACCGCGCGCTTCTTCTGTGCCGCTTTACTCCTCGCAGGGACCACCGCAATTTCGTCATGCGAGGCCGGCGTCTTCGTCCTCGCCGCCCTCTTTGCGCGCACCGCCTTCACCGTGTCTTCGAAGTCCTCCTCCATCGCCTCCTCCTCCGGTGCCGCCGCAGCGACCTTGCGCACCAAATTTGCTGCGTATTTTGCCCCCTCCAGGCGAATCTGATAGAGGTCCAGCAGTGCGTTCTTCTCCTCTGACCGAAGCAACGCGGCACGCACGAGGATGTCGTCGTAGACTGACTGCTCGTGGCGCGTCTCGGCCAGCACCGTCGCCACGGAGACGTCGTCCCAGCTCTGCTCGATGCCGTAGGTGGACGGTGCGATCTTCACCGGTGCGGGCGTTCGCTTGGTGATGTAAAGTCCGCAGTCGGAACTTCGGGGTGCCTCCAGCCGCTCGAGGCAGCGACGTGCGCGGTAGTAGACGCCGTCGTGCGCGCGGTAGCTGCTGAGGAGGCTGCGGTACAGCCGTTCCCGCTCCTGGTTCTGCGGGATGTACACCTCGATGCCGCGAAACATGGCGAAGAGGTGAAGGATGTTAAAGTGCTTGTAGTCCATGTTTCCGCAGCGTGTAGCGCAGAACACCTCAAAGTACGGCGCCTCCACGTCGGAGATTGGGCTAAAGAGATTGCTTTCGTCCGCAGAGAGAGAGTTGAAGCTTTGAATAACGTACTCCTCCCCAGACTCGGAGACGTTGCTGAGGGACACCAGTTTTGAAATGTTCGAGAAAGCAATCTTACGAGTTGGTGCCACACTTCGTTGCATCTCCGTGAAGGAGTCGAAAAACATCATGTGCGGGTTGGAGAAGCGCTTAAAGGCGGAAGTGATGGAACACGCTGTTTTTCCCTTTGCAGCTGAGTTGTCCTCAACTTTCAGCTTCGCCCGTAGTTTTCTGTTGTCCTTTTGGTTCATGACTTGCATGGTGCTTTTGGCAATGCGCGCGATGAAGGCCTCATCGCCCGCGTTCAGCATAATCTTCTCAGCACCGAAAAGCCGCATGATAAGGTTGAAGGTGTTGTTCTTCTTCACGGGGTCGCTGAGCTTCAACGCGTTGCGCTGGCGTGCGCGTTCGTTATAGATCTCACGGCGCCGCTGCGTCAGTTGCTCCCACAGACTGGACATGATCTGCATGTTTTTCCTGCCGTCCTTCATATTCTTGGACTTCAGAACGCGACGTTGCCTCTGTGTCTCCTGCGTGAACAGGTTGAAGCCCGTCATGCGGGTGCGGGCGGCATCACGCGGACAGGCCGCGGAAACGCGAAGACGCCGCATCATTGCGGTAGTACCCCGATTCAGATGGTGAGAGAAAAGAAGAAGCTAGAGCGAGAAATAGTGTTCTTCAACCTTTTCTGTGTTTACGTAGTTGTGCGGGGGTAATCGCGGTTTTATGAAGCCACAAACGATAACGGTGGAGTCGCAGAAAACCAATAAAGAAAGAAAAACAGAACCGACGTCGGTGGTGCAGGTGTATTCAATCGCCTGCACAAGGGTCTATGTGACGGACTACCACTTGGACAATGGAAGTTTGTGTGTGTGTGTGTGTGCGTGTGTGTGTGTGTCACGACTCCAAATTGAGTAGAAAAGCGAAAAGAGAAGAAGATAAAGTGGGAACGAAACCGTTTGTTGCGATGGGATGGCAGTACAACAGTCAAACGGCGCTCTCGTCACGCGTGGGCACTTTCAAACTCATGCATTGACGAAGTTCAACAGCAGCTCGACGCGTGAGCGCCGTCCAAAACGCAGAGACCCAAAATGATGAAGGAGCTTTTCTCCCTACTCCAGCTAAACCGAGTACGGTCAATATGGCTATGGCGCTTACTTAGGAAGAGCACGATCAAAACCTACTGCTTCTTCCTTCGTAGAGCACGCCGGGGCGCGGCGGAAAAGTTTCACGGTCCCATTATCTGTGGAACGGAATAGATGCTTTCATGTATAAATTGTTTGCTTTCAGATTTATCCGTGGTGTTCGTATTGTGGGTGTTTGTTTCGTTTACTGGCGCACAAAGGACGACCCTGCTCGAGGGCCTCGATCTTCTTCGCGATATGCGGCGCTCTGTGAAGAGTTACAACGATTCCAGTCCAAACAACCGGAGCAGTGCAAAATAGGTCTTGTACCACAACTTCCCTCCTACCGTCGACTTTTCCATGATCAAGTCGTGACACTGAAACGATCGACGGATGTTATCATCCGCCACCGGTGTCGGTAGCCACTGCATGTTAATGTTGTACTCCGTTCCCTCCATTTTCTGCCCTTTGCACGACTCAATAATCGGCCAACGGAAGAAACGGTTGTTCACCACCAGGGCGGTCACTTCGACGTTGTCGCTGCGGCGGTGACGCCAGCACGAGCCGTCAAAGACGTACGAGCCCACATTCTTCAGCAGCAAGGACTGCGCTCCGTAGCACAGATCCGCCATGAGCCACGAGAAAAAAGAGGTGCGCGTCCCACCATGCAACGCGGAGAAAGAGGAGGCGGCGTCGCTGTGGCTCTCCTGTGGGTCGGAGGCCACCTCGTAAAAGCACCTTGGTGTGTGCAGGGCACGCGCCACGCGGCCCAGCCCGCTATCGAGGGTACAAATCGAGTTCCAGTACTGCAACGCCGGTGCGGGGGTGGCCAGCCGCAGCTCCAAGTCGTACATTACGAGCCCCGCGTAGATCGGAAGGCGAAACCGCGAGAGAAACGTCCGCCCCCCGCGGTTGCGGAGGACGTACGTGGCCGTGAACCCGAGCAGAAAGGCGTAGTCGGCGTAGCGATAGTTCATCTCATCCAGGCAGTCGAGCGTGAGCTTCCAGTCCACGCTGGTGACGGGTAGAGCGAGGGAGAGACGCGCGCGATCGAAAAGAAAGAGTAGACGAAAAAAGTCCCGCCCCCGGTCCTGCTCCACGCGCTGAGCTCCTTCACTCAGCGAACTGTGAGAAACGATCATGGCAGAGGGAGAGTTGACGCTACCCCTCTTTTCCCTTTCGCACGAAACCTTGTAGCCTTGTGACTGCTCTGTAGGTGCAACTGTTGCAGGAAAGAGGTGCGTGAGGCACCGACAAAGACGCCAAGCGTGGAAAGAGCGTCCACCTGAGATACGTAGTAGTGTAAAATCGTTCTGTATTGAGGCCATCAAATAAAGAGAAGAGGGTGGAGCGCAGGTCACGAATGAGTGGACAGGAAAGCCAAAAAGAAACAACGTTCGACCAGGAGGAGAAACGGGGGGAGGTACAGAATTGCTGCGGAAGGCGATGCTCGACTCGCACAGTAGTATCTTTCCAGAAGTGGGCCTGCGTGCACAACTAAGTTGCAGAAAATGAGGCGCGAGCACCTGCTTCCTTTCGCCACTGCGCGTTCGTCCGCTTTCTCCATGACTACTCTCATTGTTGATCTGCTCATGTTTTTAGCTGTCTCTCTCTCTCTCTATGTGTGCGTGAAAGAATCCGTCCGATTATTTGACAAACAACAAGGCCGGACAACACAAAAGGTGCTCTATGGTAAGGTCACCCAGAAGTGATTCTATCCGAGGCTTCCTTCGTCTGTTACTATCACGCACGTGCGTAGATGGCTGGTGGGCGCGGCAAAGAACTGCACTGGATCGGAAGCTTTTGCGTGTTCTGCTCCCCTCACGCCTCAATGGCCCACCAGCTCCACGATACTCTGCTGGATGAGTGGTTCTGCCTCTTCAAAGCTAAGAAACAGCTGGTCGCCGATGTTGATGATGATGGTTTTCCCCGTTACCGAGGATCTGAATTCGTAATGGGTGAGCCCGCGCACCTCCAGTTGATTCACGGACGGCGGACGCCACAAGTAGGCCCGCAGGTCGAGCGGTACGTCAAAGGAGGTCATGTACTCTACCATGATTTCGTGGTAGTCGGAGAGAAATCGGGCCTCGGAGTTGGAGAGCGACGGCTCGAGAAGATTGTCCCGCACGCCCCACCAGGCGTCCGTGATTTGCTGCTGGCGCCACAGCAGGTAGGTGAGCACGCACCGCTTGTCGCGCAAGCACTTCGCACGGTGGTATTTCACGGAGCTTGCATAGTAGGGCTGTGTCAGGTCGGCGTATGGATTGCTGACGATGGATTGTGCGTATTGGTAGGACTCCCGCATGCTGTCCACCACCGCCCTCACTCTTTGATCGTCAACGGCGCCCATGGAGCCGCCGCTTGCGATGAGGGCGCGAAGCTCGCTTATCAGCTCCGCCGAGGCGTCCTGTTTCTTTGTCGTCATGTGCGAGCAGTTTTCGCACGTTCACATAACCGTCTTCTTTTCCCCTCTAGCAGCAACAGCAAAAACGCGCAGTGAAACACCAATGAAATGAAGTGAAGGAGGAGGACGGCGGAGGAGATGGCTGGAAAGACGAGAGAAGGATGAGACGCTGCGGCTTTGCTTCGCAATCGAACGACTGAACTCAAAAACTTGCAAGTTTTCAGATGCTTTGCAACCGGCGTCTGAGGCACACACACACATACACCGGAAACCGTGATTTCATCGCAGAGCTAAACACAGCAAACGCTGTGTACGCAGGACGTTAAGCTGCTCGTCTCCCTCTAGTCCTGGCTCTCATAGACCATGACGAAGGGAATCATATTAACAATCTGTGGCTTACGACTCAGCGTCGCCTTGTATCACTCCAGCCCCAAACTTCTTGATCACTTTTGACGTTTTCTTTTTCCTTTCGAGGCAATTTCCTTTCAAAAAAAAAATCAGCTACGTTTTTCTGTTTTAGTATAAATAACGTTGACGTTCGTTTGCCTTTTTTTCCGGTAGTTCTCCACAACTTCGGCGACATGGTCGAATCACAGCAAAAAGGTCGAAAAACATAAAATAGAATAAATCAATAGAAACAAAGTAAAAGAAGAAGTTGCTTCCACTTGCCTTCCAATACGTGATAGCAATTGAGATCAAAACGGTAATTTTGATTGTCACCAACAGCGTGAGCTCGTTGGTCGGCTATCCTGAGCGAGATAACCAACATACTCACCTTAGCGCACCGACTTCGGCTTGCCCTGGTGGCTGGGGGTGTCAATGACCTTCTTCGCACCGGAACGCTCGTGGTGGGCGTCCTCGTACTCTGCGGCGCGGCGCTCGGCCTCATCGCGCGGAGGCACGTTGTCGTCTTCCTCGTGGTGCTGCTTGGCGGGCATGGTTAAAGGGTATTAAAAGGAAAAAAAGGAAGAGGTGGAGAAAGGGCAGAGTTGTATTGGTCGTATAGAGGGTGGTAGAATCTGCAGCGTGATGCGTATGCGCATGTGCGTGAAAGTGAGTACATGTGCATGAATGTGCATGCCAGTAAAACGCAACAAACAACAACAATAGAAAGAGAAAACAAAGAAAATGATGAAAACAAAGGAAGATAGAAGGAAGAAATAACGTCGCCTATAATCAGCAAGAGTATAAGAATCTCGCACGAATGGGCTGGTGACCCGAGTGAGAGCAGCTGGCGGTTTAATGTCAAGAGGAAAGAAACGCAAACGGCTTCAGCGCGGTTGAGGTGTGTGTCACGATCCACCAACTGCACGGTTTCGCATTTTATACTCATGAGTGTATTTGCATGATTGGATCGATTCAAACCATGTCGTACTGCCTTAGAGTGTTGTCACGGTCCTTTACAAAACAAGCAAGCGGTGACTTGCAAAGTCGCTCAACGGGTTCACAAGCAGAATACAAAGCACAAATACCACAATGGAAATAAATATGGAGCACGGCAGGGCCGGCAGCGCGCGAAGAGAGGTGCGAAACAGCAAAAGAGAGAGCAGGGTGCCCACCATTCCGGCAAGGATGCTCACCAAACAGAACGTCCACGGTACAAAACCGGATAGCGACGCGCGGCCGACGAGGAGGCTGTAGAAGATGAAGTCACCGAGACCGAGTTTAAACGGCGCTGCGTGCCGCAAGACATACTCCCCAGACTCCACCGTGGCCCCCGCAGGCGGTCCGGTCGCTGGAGCAGTTGCCGGCGCAGCAGACGGTTGCGACGGGCTCTGCCGAGACAGCGGTGCAACTCCGTGTGCGCTGTCGTAGACGAAGCCAGGAATGGGCTCGTTGCGGTCCTGCGCCACCTTAATCAGACGGTGCAGCGGCCCCTGTTCCCATAGCACGGCGACGATGTCGTAGGCCGCGATGCAGATCAGAAGCGACCACGTCGTCCACTCCGGCAGCGCTGTCATCGACCAGGCGATGAGGACGGAGGCGATGACCAAATACACCTGCGTCACAGCGGGGTGGGAGTGGTAGAAGAGAGTGATGAGGCCCACCACGCCAAAGTTCCACACGAAGGCGCCCATGGAAAGAACGTTGTACGGGATCTGAAAGTACGTGCAGACCAGGTCCAGCCACACCCACAGAAGCAAGAAGAGCATCGAGACGGCGGAGAACGCCAGCCAACCGTACAGCACAATTTGCAGGTGAAAGTGGTAAAGAATGACAACAAGAAAAGTGACCAGCACCACACACACCACCACGATCACGGCGGACAGAATCGAGTAGGCAACACGTTGACCCACGCCACTCGCATCGGCTTCGTTCACCATACTCCACACTGGCGCTGCGTCGCTGTTGATATAAATCGGAGAGAGACAGCAGACACTCCACACGACAGCTAAAATGGCTGCTGTCACAGGGACGACCAACGACACAAATCGCACCCCAACCCGGCGAGAGAGCTTCGCATCATCGAGCAGACTTACACCAGACATACTGCAAGGTAAGTCGGCTGTTGCCTATACGTGTGTGTGTGCGTGCTTCAAGTGCTGTAGACGCTTTTTTGGAAAGAGACAAAAAGAGAGAACAGACAGGGTATTGGGGAAAGCATCAATGAAGGGATGGTCTCTTGCGAGTGCGATCTGCAACTATCATCATCCTCACCACCACTGAGACGGCGTCGCGGTGCGAGCTCCGTCGTGCAACTCGCATTGAGAAGCAGAAACTGCTGCCCATTTCCATGGAAAGCAGTGCCGAGAGAGTCTCATCGACCACAAATAACAACTGAATACGTGAAGCTTAAAAATGCATCTTCGGCCGCCGTGCTTTTCCTGCTTTTCTTTGCTTTTCAAAACAAAATATGTGACTAAGAGCGCTTTCATACAGTTGTTAGTGGAACTTATAACCTGTGAAGAGTAGTTAGACTAGAGCAGCTTCCGTTGGATCCTCCGCGGCGCAGAAGTGGCGCTCCGCCGCACTCACTGCCGAGGCCGCCTCCATGTGCCTCCGACGCTTCGCCGTAATGTGTCGTTGTTGGGACGGGTCAAAGCCCTCCCCCGGCGAGTCTGCCAGCGCCCAGGACGGAGTGGGCAGCAGGTAATCCTCTGGCACAAGCGCCGCCGCCCGCTGCGGATCGCGAACGATTTCATCGAACTTACCGAAGTCGATCCACGAGTGCACTATCCCATTCGGGGCAAACCGCTGATGGGCAAGGAGGATGCAGCCCGAGTGCTCGTGGACACTCGCGACGAGGTACTGCGTGCCGTCGCCAACGAACGCGGCACAGCTGCGAGGCAAACGATTTCATCTTCTCCCACGACGGCACATTTTGGATGCGGAGGATGGTGTTGTGGTTGCCGGAAAAGGCAGGGGTGAGCCGCTTGATCTCGATGAAGTGCGGTTGTCCTCGCTCGAAGAGCTCCTTGTATTCGCTCAGGTTCTCTGGTTCCATGTTGAAGCCGTCAATCATGGTGAGCCGGAAAACAGTGCGGTGCTTCTTCTCCCGCATGCAACTCACGCTCTCGTTAAAGCGTTCCCAGTAGTCTGGTAGAACGGGTCGATCAAGTATCTTCATCGTCTCGCGGTTGGGGGCGTCTACACTCAGGTACAGCTGCGTCACGGCTCCCAGACCGCGAATGGCCTCCGGAAACTGCCCGTTGTTCACGAGAAACGATGACATAGATCGGGCGTGCAGCAGGCGAAGAAACTCGTTCACGTATGGGTACATGATCGGCTCTCCCACCAGGGAAAGGGCGCAGTGGCGCGGGTTCATTGCCTCCTCCAGCCCTTCCTCCGTCACCCCTGGCATGCCGCGAACACCGTTAACGAGGGCTTGGTGACTCTTGATCATGCCGTCCACAATATCCTTCGGGTCGTCCACCATCCATTTCCATTCCGCCGCGGTGGGGTTGGAGTTCAGCCGCCAGCAAAAGACACAGTTGTTGGCGCACGCCATACTGGGCGTCGCCTCCATGCAGCGGTGGGACTGGATGCCGTACATGGTCCACTTGTAGCACCCGCCCCGACCTCGCATCATCGACTTCTGCCACCTGCACAGCTTGACGGCGCTGTGCGATCCCACGAGCGTGTACATGGAGCTGAGGGACTCACGCCGTTTCTCCGACAGCATCGGCCGACACACAGCTGTTCCATTCTTCTGCATTCTCTTCCTTGCGGTTAGGGCAGTATCACTAGTCAAGATAAATACGCAAGCGGTGTGGTACGGTGCTGCTTCTACACTTCCAGAGTCTAGAGAACCGGATCGATTGAAACTCCACGCATACGTGCACACGCAGAGACACACGAAAAAAGTGAAGGGAGAAAGCGACTAGCCCAACGGACGCAGCTTGGTCAGAAAGCAAAATGTGGCACACCTCGAAAGCTGCGCAGAAACGCGGCTGGGAATACGTAAAAGGCGAGGGGAGTGAGGATGGGTGGGTACGAGCGCAGCGGATTCGATCAGTCTCAAATACGCGGAGATGCGGGATTTAAAAGAGAGAAAACACATAAGAAAAGATGCATACAAAGACAGAGCTCTTCGGAAGTGGGATTGTGCGAGCTAAACGCGCTACAGATGTGCTGTTTGTTTCGATTTGCGGATGTAGAAAAAAAAAACATTCACCGAGGCCTTGTAACGAGATTCCTTGAAATTCTGGTTATTGAAAAACAAAACGGAAACCATATATGGAGAGAGTTCTATTCTCTGCTATCGGCACCACCGCAGCTAAAGAGACGGATGAGACTTACGCGAGTTCTGCACCTCGTCTAGCAAAAACGCCAGTGAATGAACGACACAGAAACACAATCTAGAAGTAAAAAGTGTATCGGGAAACAAAACAAAAGCAGTTCCTTACATCGATTTTGCCGCGACTTCACGTGCATCTAAAAAAAAAAAAGAATCAATAGCGCAGTAGTCGCTGCCGGAGTACATCAACAACCACGACAAAAAACAGGAGGTGAAAAACAAAAGCCCAAGTAAGTGCTCTATGAGCTGCGCATGAGATACACGGCACGAACAGAGTTTTGCCGGTCAAGCGCAGTGTTGCGATGCGCACGTTTCGGTTTGGCCACCGGTTCCCCCAGCTGGGTGGAACTCATCCATCGGTCATTGTGCATCCGAGAGCTCTCTAACGTGCACTTTGGGTGCTCTAAAATGTGCTGTCGATACGCCGCCGCTCGCTCGTCTGGAGTTAGACTTCGCATGTACGACGCGTCACGCGTCACCTTTGCGGGTGCTTCATAAGAGGTGCGTGGAGTCTCCGGCGGTGGTACGTGCGGAATACTCCAACTAAGCGCCAGCTGTATCTCTGTTAAGCCGGTGACGGGGTCCACAGCCTGTGCGCCGTAGGCGGGCGGTTGTGCTCCGCTCCGTGAACACGGCGGGACGGCGTCGCATGTAATGTAGTTGCTTCGCGTGGCGTCCAAAGCGAGCGGCGCAGTGCCGTGCCAGAAAGGAAGGAAATCCGTATCTCCAGCGAGCGTCCGTGCCTTCGCCTTCTTCGCTTGCTCCACGGATCGGAGTGTCTTCTTTGTTTCAAAGGGAGAAGGGTTGCCCTTGAAGTCTGGCTTAACTCGCTCGCTCAGCCATTGCAGCTTTGCGAGCGTCTTCTCTTGCTTTTCCCGTTCTTCAGGGTTCATGGCAAATAGGTGTCGTATTCGATTTAGTTGAAATCAGGAGAAGAAGACAAAGGAAATCCTGCTGTTTCGCGACCAGGTGCGATGAATGCAAGAGTGTTCTTTAAGGTTTCCTGTGTGTTCGTGACTGCTAAAAGAAGAAAGCAGAATAGAGCAGGGGGAGAGTGTATAACTAAACAGCACGGCACTCGCGATTGTGGCTACGAGAAAATGAGACGACACTGCGTATAACACGACTACAGGCTGATGTCCGTCACGAGCCTTGCCAGCACCCATAAAACCACCGGTGCCCCGTCAGCGTCTGCGCGCGTCGCGAAAACGTGCGAAAGGCAGCACCATGCATTTTGTTAGGGAACAACACGCTTTTCCGAATAAGAACGTGTCCGCTTTCTCCGACTTCTCATGCTTTCCCATTTCCCGTTTGTGTGCGTGGAGGCAAAGAAGCACCTAAAAAGTGCAACGACTCGCGAGACCGCACCACGGCAAAAGACAAAAAGAACACCGAGCACACCGGCCAATTCAAGCGGTGATCACCACACACATCGTTTTACGAAGGTGCCGCGTCATCCAACACGGTTGCGCAGGCCGCGCAGACGTGCTGAGGCGTTCTAAACCGCGACTCAGGTATGAGACGCATCGCCGAGAGACACGCATTGCACATGATCCCTCCGCAATTGCAGCAAACCTTCTTGCCCTGTAGGAGGCCAAAAGCCTTTTTACAGTTGCTGCAGGCTGACACCGTCGACTCGTCCACCCACGGTATCTCGCGCAGCCAGAAGTCCGCCACATTCTTCCTTGACACCGCGTTCAGGTCGACCGAGGAAAGAAAGGGATGACGCTTGATCTCGTTCATGCCAATACGCGTCTTTTCGTCCTTCACGAGCAGCTTCTTGATGAGATCCTTTGCGTCAGGGTCGATGTCGTCGGGGAACTCCGGCTCCTTTTCGAGGATTGTTTTGATGAGCAGGTACTGCGTTGAGGCGTCGAACGGGCGGCGACCGACCAGCATTAAGTACAGTACGCACCCACAGCCCCAATAGTCGGAGGCGCAGCAGGTGAAGCTGTTCTCTAACAGCTCTGGGGACATGTAATAGGTGGTGCCGCAGAACGTCTGCGCGCGGCCGTTGCCGCCGGTGTCATTTTCAGTCGCCTTGTCATTGGCGGAATCGCAGACCACCGCCGTGCCGAAGTCGATCAGCCGCACATGCTTGTCCGCACTAAGCATGATGTTCTCCGGCTTGATGTCGCGGTGAATTACGGGGACCGGCTTCGTGACGAACCCATTCGGGGTGATTGTTTTCTTCTCACCGTGGTGCAGGTAAAAGACGGCAGAGAAGAGCTCTGCAGCGGCGCAGCGCGCCGCCTCGAGGGGGATGCGCCCCCAGCGCTCGATGTGCTTCAGTAGCTCTCCGCCCTCGCACAGCTCCGTGACGTAGAGCAAGTCCTCCGTCGTCTGCATTGAGGCGTAGAACCTGACAATGTTGGGGTGCTCGCACATAAGTAGCATTCGCGTCTCCCGCCGCGCCACCTCGGCCATATGCATGCGTTCCTCATCAGACGCGGCATCAAGAATCGATCGTTTCGAAATAAACTTGACAGCATACTTCACCCCCGTTGGCTTGTAAAGCCCAACGACAACTTTGCTAAAGGCACCGGTGCCAAGTGGCGGACCGAACTCAAAGTCGGCCGCAGCCATTTTAGTCGGCATTTTTGAGAGTTCGGCTTTGCCTTGAAATTTTTTGCGTGCTCTACAGAAGTAAAAGATTGAGAAGCGTATATTTATCGCCCGTTTTTGCTATTTATTTGTTTGCTTACAGCAAAAAAAGAAGATATGGAGTCTACTGTACAGGATCACTTGGGTATTTATGTGCTTCCTTGTGCGTCGACAGTGCAATCGAGCTGAGAGAGCGACAGAAAAATGGGGCCACGGAGAATAGAAAAGAAAGACGTGCTGTGGATCTACACCAGCAAAAGCCGCACCACTGAACCTTATTCAAAGACGCCAGCCCAAATGTGTGTCACCGCGTGAAATACACCCCAAAACAAAAAGAGAAAGAAAAGTCACAGAGAGGGGGATAGAAGATCAAGACCCGGCCAATGGAATTCGGAAAAGGAAAGAATTCGAAAACGTACGCTGGCCCTCCAAAAGGAAAAAAACATATGAGGCCGTGCACCGTTGACTCTGGGTCAGCGTGACGGCAAACACGTGTACACAAAGTGACTACCTAGCACGCGTATAGCTGTAAGAAGAGGTGAAAGAATACGTAAGCAGCACTGGAAAGGGGTACGAAATAGTTCTGTTCACTCGCGTACAGTTTTTTCTTTGCTGCTGCTGCTGCTGCTGTTGTGTAACAGTGATGTTTTTGTCTGTGCAAATTAGAAAGTCTTCGTGTATATATCTACTCTATAGCTCGCCCGACCCAAAGCCGTTCGCGTACGCGCAACGATACGAATAACAAAGAACACAGAGTCGCGGCCTTCAGCATTAAACTACAAGAAAACAAAGCTATGGAGAGGAGCAACAAGAAATGCACCGCGACACCTTGCTACTCCAAGAATTCTCTACGCTGCGCTGGAAACACAAGTTGAAAAGGAAAGATTGTTTTACTTCACAGACAGGGCTATGCGTAAAAGGGAAAAAGCAGTTTTTCACGCTGTAAAAGAGCGCAACAACGAAAAAAGAACGGAGCAGAGGTATGAAAAAAACTTTTACTCATCGGCAGCGTCATCCACAACATCTGTACCAGCTCCGACAGCCGGCCTTTCCTCATCGTCGTCGACCTCCGTGCATGAGTCTACCTGCATACGAGCTTCCCACTCCTCTATGGATGCGCGATCTCTGCGTTCCGGGCCGCCGCGGCCCTGCTTTTTCACTTTGGCCGCAATGCACTTGAAGTACTCGTACACCTCGGGGCTGCGCAGCCAGTGCTTGTACTGCTGGTAGCAGGGCTCGGAAGTAAGACGTCCTGTAGCGCGCTGCGTTGTGTAGTTCAGCTCGTTCAGGCAGAACGCGATATTCTGCGCCAGCGCGTGCTTCTTCTTGCTGCGCTCAGCGTACGGTGTGAATCGCTGGCAGAGGCGTTCAATCAGCGACTCAGTCGGTTTGTCACCTTCGACGCGCTCCAGCAGCGTCCGCATTGCAAGCTGGAACTTCTCCGCTGGCATTCGACTGCTGAGCTTGCTCACCAGCGGCGGGATAAGGTTGCCGGTCCTCTCCTTCTCCTTCATCGCCAAATTCTGAACGAAGGTGACGGCGTTGCTGGCGATCGCCTTGTCGGGGTCGGCAACCAGCTCCACGATAGTGTACAGGTGATCCCGGATGCGCAGCATCTCGCCTAGCACGAGGTGCGAGCACACCTGAATTGTCACGGCACGCACGCGGACGTCGTCGTCGACCAACAGCTTGAATAGTCCAGTGGTGGGGACGCTAAGGTAGGGTGCGAGAAGGTTGGGGTGGACGCACGCAAGGTCGCCGAGTGCGATGACGATGTTCACCTTCGTAATCCAGGACTCGCGCTTGTCGGCGACGATGGTGAACAACAGGTTCAACTGCTCCGCACAAAATGTCGCGTTGACAATCATGTACTGGCATAACGCTAACACAGCGCAGACTCGTTCGTAGGGCTTCTCTGCGAAGATGGTGGCCTTTTTGCGGCAGGCGGATACGATCATGTCGGTGTAGCGGAACCAAACGGATCCAGGCGCGATGATCGCCAGCTTCCGCTTCAGTGCCAGCTGCTGTATATTGTGTCTCTGAAACTCGTGCGAGCCCAGTCCCAATTCTTTGTGCATCGAATCCGTGGCGTCTTTTGTGTGCTGTGAGGCCCGCGCGGCTTTGGCGGGCTCTTCCAGCGCCTTCAACTCCATCTTCTCCGCCTGCTCCACCGCGACAAGCTGCTTGAGGGCCGTGTGGCCGAGGAGAAAGAGAAACTGCGCTCTCCGGTTTGGTTCCTCGTCGAGGTTGGGGCGGGCGCCGTAGTACTCCAATACGTAGTTGTACACCGTCACTGGCACCTCGCAGAGGTGGTGAAGCACGTTGACGGCGGCCTCGGCGAGAATCATCCATGACGCCATCCCGGTAGTGCGGCGACACAGGTGGTTGAGGACGTGGCGAAGAATGGGGTGCCGCGTAACGTCTTCGTCGGCGGGTATCGGCCGAAACTGCGGGTCGAGGGACTCGTTTTGGAGGGCGGCAAAGACGTAGGAGAGCAATATGTTGTCTTTTTGGGAGTCGGAGCAGAGAAACTCGACGACGCTGTCGTTGCGCGTGCGCAAGTCCTTCCAAACGTACTTGCTGAGGAGACTGTAGATGCGCATGGCCACCCGGCGATCGTCATCGGTGGAGTCGGCATCGATGGAGCCTTCTGCGATGCTCCAAATGGCTTCCACAAACTGAGGAGAGAGATGGCGCGCAAAGGCCGGGTTCACCTTCAGCAGGCCGAAAATACGATCCACCGCGCTCACCTCGCCCTCCGAGGCGTAACGCAGGAGGCTGATGAGCTTTTGCGCGCTCGCGGCCGCCCGCGTCCCAGTCGAGACAACCGCGCGGTTGAACGCGTTGAAGACGACCTCTGTAAAAGCGTCACGGACCGCGAACTGAATTTTCATTTCCCCCTCAAAGACCATGACGATGACTTTGAGGAACGCCGTTTCTCCCCCTTCCACACGGTATTCAGAGCATGCGACGATCAGCTTGATCGATTCAATCACGTCTCGTTCCGTTCTGCTGTCGAGCAAGACGCACGCGTACTGCAGAGCCTTCTTGATCAGCTCCACAAAAGCGAGTGTATTTTGGTAAAACACGATTCGATTCAGTGTGGCCACTTGTTCTTCCGTTAGCGGCGCCTCCTCGTGTTCGCGCTCCCTTCGTTGCTCCACCGCTGCCGCCCGTTCGTCATTATTCTCCAGCGGATCTTCAAGCACTTCAGCGAGAGGATGAAACTGTGAGGCCAGCTTCTCCAGCGCGGCGCTCATCGCAGCGGCTTCGCCGAACAACGAGACACCCTCGATCATGGACTCCTCCACCTTCGCCTTGACCAAGGCGCTGTTAAGCACATTTCCAAACCAGTTTTTCTTGAGTACAGAAGAGATGACCGTCATGGCGGAGTCACGCACAAGATAGTTGCGATCCTCTAGCCTGCCAACCAAGGTCTCCATCAGCGCCAGGTGGTAGCGCTTCGGCACCGCTCGACCTTCTACCAGTTTCTCCCAGGTGTGCAGCGCGTGATTGCGCACAAAGGCGTTGACGTCCATGACACGGAAAAGCAGCTCGTTCAGGTACGAGCTGCGCACAACGTCGTCATCCGAGTTGCGTGCGTGTCCTGTGTAACGTTGGATTACCATTTCCGCAAGGCAAGTGATCACTGATTTCCTGATATCGTAATTCTCGCTTTGCAGAACAGGAAGGACCAGGTCCGCCATCCTCACCATCACACTGATGCTGCGCTTTGCGACCTCGCTAAAAAAGCAGGCCACGTTTTTGGCTGCTGCGACGTCACTGGACGCCTCGTAGAGAGCAGCTCGTGACATGTGCTCGAAAATGGAACGGAGGAGCTGATCGCCGAAAGCGCCGCTTGTCTCGCTCTGTTCAATGTCTGAAACGAGTTTTGAAAGAAATAGAGCAGCGCTCTCAGACTTGAGCGCCAACTCCACAAGCGGGGAGATGAGATCTGAAGGGATGGAAGAGCTGTTCTTCGCCAAAATGCAGCTGCTTGTCCGCGCAAACAGCAAAGCCAATGCGCCTGCGATGGACTGCCCGTCGCTGCCAATGTTCTGCTTCAACGTCACCATGTGAAGACACGTCTTGACCACCAAGTTCAACGTCAAATCCTCCAGGCGGCTGTCTGGCCAAAGCTGAACAACCTCGGGAGAACAAAAATCAACCAGTGCCGTCAAGACCAATTCACGTCCGTCCATGTCTACGCCACTTCCGTCGTCGCCGAAGCTTGTGTCCATGTCTCGTCGAGGGCGTTTGCGATGGGAGCGCTGAGAAAACGTCCCGGAAGGTTCGTCGTCGTCGGAAGGCGCGGCAGAAAGTAACACATTGCACACGACGAACACATACATTTTCAGCGTAGAGCGCAGACAAATTTCGAGAGCGCCATTGACCGTACTACCGGGCTTTTGCTTTTTCAGAAAAGCCACAGCAACCTGCAGCAGTTTTCGTAGACGTTCCCCGACTTCGTGGCAAATTTTGTGTCGCGCCACCCGAGTGACCTCGCTGGAAAGACTCGACTTACTGCGAATTGCTTTCACATACGAGTAGAGAGGCAAGAAAAGCTCATGTTTCGTAAAGAGAGCAGTAGGAGATTTCTCATGATGCAACGCGTCGAAGAGGCGAGTGAGATCATCCAGCTGATGACGAGCAGGGACGTCAAACTCGCAGGCCGCTTCTACATGATAGCGATTGTCACCGTTCACAGCTGCATCTTCTAAATCAGCTACGTGGTTAGGGATGAAAAATTCAGGTAGTGCGGCCATGGTAATATGCTCTATGTTTGTAAAGCAGATCAAGAAGAAAATACACACACAAAAGAAGAAACCTGTAGTAGCTCAAATGTATCTGAACCTACTGACTGTGCTCTAAGACAGAGAATAGCTGTTGCGCATACTTGTCTCAGAAATGCGTGTGTGAAAACTACGCTGTTCACAGGAAATAAAAGACGACAAAAGACACGCTTCTTGACGAGCCTTCTGTGGAGAGAAAAAAGAGAACAACAACAACAAAAAAAAAAAACGGAGAGTTGTGAAACAACGAGAGGAGGGTTGTCGTTGAACGAATATACTGAAGAAATATTTCTACATTGCATCCGTTTCTCCTAATTTTTAATCAAGTGAATAATGAGTATTTGTGTGTGTGTGTGTGTGTGCGGAGAGACACGTAGCGGACAAGAGAGTATTCGTCAGTCACTGCCATGCTCTGTTTCGCCACCATTAGAGCAGCTGGTGCTTCTTGTCTGAATTGCTGCGGTAAGGTAAGTTTAGTTCAATTTATCCACCATCAGCTACATAGCTTAACGCTACTTTGGAATTTTCTTCTCTTTCAACGTGTGAAACTGAGCTTTCTCTTTTACTAGTTCAACAGCTAGAGAACGGGGAAAAAACATATCATTTGAACTGATAATACCAGACAGAAAAAAGGAAAACATTTTCATCGTTTACAGATATGTGAAGTCAAGTGAAAAGAAACCAGAAAGCAGCTCGACACAGATCATTCCTTACCTCATAAACCACTTTAAAGCTTTTAGTTGTCTTTTGAAGTCAGTAACCCTGAGAGCACAACGGAAACTCGCGCGTTACAAACGTTTTCGCTCCGTATCTTTCCCAAGGTTGCGTTTCTGTGCGTCTCTCCAACAAAACCCACAACAGAAACACATACCAAGAAAACAGGATAAAAAGAAGAGAGGAAGGGAAAAAAATTAAACACTGTTGGTGGCTTGAGATCATGGAGCACACACGAAGATGAACGGCTTTCTCCGTGAAGCGTGGAGCTCACGAAAGCACAGCGTGAACGCTAAAAAAGAAAAAGAAAAATAGAAAACAATAAAACAGGATACAAAAAAAAGCGTCGGAGACGTAAGGAAACAGGGTTTTATTGTTAAAATTCGTTTTGTGAGTGGCTACTCAAAAGAAGAAAGAAATGGAAAAAAAAGAACAGAAGTTGCGGTTACAATTTCGCATTCGACCCTGCCTTGATTTGCTCACGATACTTCCGCATGTAATGCTCGATATGCCGCCGCTTCTCACCCGGCTTGCTCTCAATGTACGTTCCGCCAACAGAGAAGCACGCAAAACCGCCAGAGGCCGTTCCCCAAATCACCGCATCTACGAGATCCAGCTGACCAACAGACTTGCCAGACCCAAGGGCTTCGGAGAGGTACCCAAGAATGCCACCAGCAAAGTTGTCGCCACATCCCGTCGTGTCGCCGCGCCGCGCAGGGTGAGCAGCAAGATCCTCCGTCACAGCCTTGCAAATCGGGAACCACGAGATCGGGAGTGGCTTGAACAGCTTGCCGCCCGACCAAGCGCAGAAAGGCTCAGAACCGTGTGTGATGGTGAATGAGCCCACACCCATACGGATGAAGAAATTGCAGGCCGCGTTGATGTCTTCGGTGCCGGAAATGCGCAGCGCCTCGTCCCAGTCAACCATCAACAGGTCCATGTACTTGAACGAATCATCACTTTCGCCCATAGGCCAGCGGGCGTGCGGATTCCGTGCCTGATTGCGGTGGTCGTAAACTGTTCCCACAACATTCACGCGCCCCTCGCTGCGGCCACGGTGCAACAGCGAGGTGAGATGATCGTGCACAATCGGGGCGAGTGCGGTGGCACCGAAATACAAAATGTCAGATTTGAAGAAGTCATCACCAAGCAATTTGCTGTCAATCAGGCCCAAAGTACCGATATTAATGGCAAAGCAGCGCTCACCGTGTCCATTGGCGTAGTTGGGATCAGAGAGGCACACACAGAACGGCGACTCTCCCTCAATCTCCTTGTAGTTGGAAATATCAACGGGTGTTTTCTCCAAGATGGAACGGATGCGCTTCCCGGTTTTATCGCGGCCGTGTGCACCAAAATATTTGACGTGCGACTTTGTCGCTGAAGTCAGTTGCGCAGCGTTCACCAGCGCAACGATGCACGGTCCGCCGAGGTTGTACGTGTCCGGTTCACGCATCCATCCCTGCTCCTTGCGAATTTCGTTGAGCGGCTTTCCGGCGAATTTTTCCCACGCTTCCACAAAAGACAGATGCCCGGGATTAACCCCACCATCGCCGTCCCTTTTGGACTGGTACTTCTTGAACGAGGAGCTGTTGAAATCGATGTTTGTGTACAGGTAGTCGATGACGCAGCATCCAGTGCCAGAGATCGACGCCATGATTGAAAGAGAGTGAATGAAAAAAGAAAAAAGTAGAGTAGATTTACGTTGTTTTTTTTTGCCGTTTTACTTTTTGAAGAGTGTGACGTTAAATCTATTCAAGTTACGAGCATTCCAATGTTTCATTGTTGAGGTGTTGTGGGTTAACGAAACAGATTGTTTTGTGAATCCGATGTTTTTTTTTTTTGCAGACGAAAACATAGCCAATAGATTCAAAAGTGTCAAAGGCAAAGAAAAGAGAAGTTAGTGGATGAAGAAAAACTACGTCATCAGTAGTGTTCAAAGGCATTGGTGGCACGTACGCCAAGAAAAGATTATTATTATCAACCTACGATAGCAGTGCATCAAAAAGGGCAACTGTTTCTCACTCATTGACGCGACACTAACGTGAAAGGGTTGCTAAAACTAGCACGCCAGTCGAGCGTGGGCAGAAAGTATATAGAATGTACACACGAGCACATTATTTTGATATACAAATATATTTTCCGTCTTGACTACGCTGTTCAGGTCGAGTGCTAATACAGTCTTTATTATATTGCAAGAACGCGTCTTTTCATGCATCGAAAGCCTTCGGTGAATTAATAAAGCAAAAGAACACAAAAACCCAATTGAGAAATGAACAGAGAGGAGAAAGATACATTTCCAACACTGTAGAAGTATCATTATTTCCTTTTAGTTCGTTTCGGCTCAGCAGCGCTCCGGCACACCCTAAAAAGCGTTAACCCGCACCTTTACATAAGAAAAAGAAATGTACATCAACACTTCGAAGGCGACGATAAAGAAGGCTATCACGCCTCAACAACTTTCGTCGATCAAGGCGCGAATTCGCCATTGCTCCTACAGCGAGTTTTCTTTGATGGCCGGGTAATACGTTTCATATGCAGTTCCAAAAATAGCTACTCATTTTGGTTAAGCTGCAAGAACGGTCCTAAGTGACTGCCTGCATCGTTGGAACTTTCCTCTATTTGCTTTCAAATGCAACTAGCTTGAGCCTTGAGGAGTTCTACAACTTTGAAAGCACTGTATTTCACGCCACGCTCTGCTCTGTTTGCAACACAAAACCTGTCGTCAAGTCTCTGCACTGGTACAGTAAGCTGCCCACTTTTGCATGGTTGCGTTGCCGCAGCACGACAGCATTTTTGCCAGTTGCGCTGTTGCTGTACCATGACTGTGATTGTGTGGAGCACAATGTTTAACTGCATTTCAAGCTCGAGAAGCAAAGTGTTTGCTGCATTTGCTGAAGATGAGTTGCGACACAGCGCCTTCGAAAACAAAACACTTCGACCTTCGGAACGGTAAATCGATGTGTCGTTCATCCTCTCCATACTCGCGGATTATATCCCGCTGACAGAGTAGGTTTGACCGCTTTGGTATTCGCATATGTGCCTGGCAGCCATGCCATTTAAATTTGTGTCAGTTTACCGGATTTGGTTCATACAAAAAGCGCCGAAAAGGGGGAAAAGGGGGAAAAGGGGAGGGGGAGGGGGGACGAGCTCGTCCAGTAACTTTTGACCAACTGCGGGGCAGATATATGATCTCCTGTTCTCTCATCTTACAGTGAAAAAAAAAGCTGACCAACTACATTTAGGGCCAGATGGCTGTCGTGGCCACCTTTGCGTGAGATTGCTTCTCGCACATATTATCCATTTTGATCCTTACGTGCTGCTCTCCGGCCTCTTCTCTACGTTGACATCCTTCCATTCGTGGAGTTCAGCAGTAGCCTTGTTTCTTTCAAGCATTGCCTCACATTCCATTCCAAGGCGTCTTCAGTATTCATTGCAGACTATTGACTTCTCCTCCTCAGTCTGAGTCAAACTGACGCCAGAAGCAAATGCTATACCAGCAAAGGAATGTTATTTATGACTTCCTTCGTTATGACTTTGCTTGCAAACATGTACTCATTTATCTCCTGGTTTACTCCACATTCTTTCCTCCTTCTGTTCACGTTTGTTTCCCTTCTGGTCATCATGCTGAGTCAGAAAGTGCTTCAAAGCGCTGCCTACTGCCGAAGCTATTATTCACTGTGTTCTAATTCTACGTACAGACCTGAAACGAAGGGAACCATGCCACCGAAAGGAAGACTACCACGCCGAAACAAGGCTGGAAAGAATGAACTCAATCTCGAGGCTGTTTCGGAAGAGCGGATTGATGCTGTAACTGCAGAACCGCTTGATCCCGTCAAGTTTATCGAGGTTTTGAGCCCCGATCGGACACTCCGTCTCTTCTACAACACAAGCACGCTCATCCGTATCGCGCTCGACAAAGGCGGTTTCATGCAGCCGCCGCACTTCCGCGAGCCGATGTCGAATGCATTGCGCAAGCGAATCGAGAGCATTGAGGGCAAGAAGTTTCGCTTTGAGTCGCGCAATTCAATCGTGCCCACCGATGAAGGCGGCGAAGGAAACGGGGTTAACATACTGCACCGGCATGTGTACTTTGATCAGATCATGGACGAGTTTTATCTTCTGAGCCCAGCCGAAGTGTATGTTTGCCCAGTGTGCTACGAACACTACATGAAGACTCGCTATTTGCCCTCTCAGCTAGCGGATCAGCGAACGGTACGTCATCTGCGCAATGGGAAACCCGTGGTGGACCCACTGAATGTCCTCTCATCCATGCAAGGGGAGGATCCCGTAGACGGCGAAAACGACGGATCTCCCATTGCTCTCAATGACTCATGGGACAACATACTCGCGCACATTGTGTTCCGAAAAGCGGCCCTATGGAGAGCGCACATGGAAAAGCACCACGATATCAACGGCGTCGGCGCTGGCGATTATCGCCTTCGCGACGTTCTCTGCACATATTACAATGATTACAATCAATGGAATGAAGAGAAGTACGAGGACGAAATGCGACAGTATGGTGACTCCAAGAAGCGGACGGCTTTGACACAGCAGCGGTATTGGCACATCAATGCCAGCTACAACCGACTTCGCTACAATCGCGTGGTTGTCGCCGCTGAACTGGCTGCAGGGCACCCGGAGGCGGTGACTGAAAGCGCGTTCCCCAATGAGACCATAGCGCATCACTTCAACCCCGAAGATGAGAATGAGGACGACTTCATTGACGATGACGAAGAGAGCGAAAGGGACGACTACATACGTCCGTATTCACCGACAAACGACGGCTTTAACGACGAAGATTCAGAGGAAAGCGAAGAGAACGACCCGCTTCCCGCGAGAGGCCGAAAACGCACACGTGAGTACACTGTGGCAAGTGAGTCGGACTCGCAAAGCTCGTCCGACTCGGCCTCAACAGAGACCTCATCCGGCGATTCGGAATACAATGCAAGAGTGAGCAAGCAGCGTTCTTTGTTTAAGCAAGGACTTTTAGCCGAGCGGGATTGCTACTACTCACGTCTGTCAGCGGAGGATCGACGCTTTGTCGAAAGGAGCCAACGCTCCTCCGTGGCACCAAGTCAGTTGTATGACCCACGAATGCATCAGGGTCCGTCGAAGAGCAATGCAGTAGATGATGACGTTGACTGGGAGAACATTGGCGAAGTCCTTCCAGTCAAACATGCTGCGAAACTCTTCAAGTCAGAAGCAAAGGGTCTTCCACCGAAGGAACACTCCTTAACGCCGGCGAGGACGACTCTTCTGCTAGACGACGATGACACAAAAACGGCGTCTGATCCAATCGCTGCAAAAGCAAGTCCTAACCATGTGTCGCGTCTGCTGCTCGATGAGGACGACTGAACCACTCACGTGGATGCGGTGACGGATGGATATCTTTCTTTGCTGTTGTTAATCTCAGCATAGCATTCGACATCAGCGCTATTGAGGTTGAGACATTTTCAACGCTGAGGGCTACTTCTATTTTTCTTTCATCTGCTTCACTATTACTTCAGACTCGTTTAAACGCCTTCACTTGGACCTAAGAGTAGCTGTGTCCTTCAAAAAAAAAAGGAAAAAGAAAATAAGAGCGAACACAATGCAATGCTCAGCGAGCTGCTCCAGATCCAGCTTTCTCCACCTATGCAAGGACAATCCTTCAGCTTTGATCTTTGTGAGTCTCACATGGTCCGCTCTCGTCGCTCTTTTTCGGATACACACTTTATCTCGGCTTTGAAGGTTAAGGCCCTTCATAGATTTCTAATCGTCTCTTCGTTCTCCCTCTCCACTAGCTTCTTCTGTACCATGTTCTCACCTAGCAACAGCAAAAAGAAAATGAAACCTGCTCTGTTCGCGTGGAGGTACTTTCCCTCAATGAAAGTGTCTTGGCCTGGATTCCCCCGTTGATCTTTACCACTTTCTTTAGGGCACACACACAACAAGCCAAACCTACACGATCGTGTACTATCAAACGAGCAGTTTGTTGTTCTTGTTGGAAGGGATGCTTTGAAAACCACGTGTCTTCTCCTCCAGGACACTTTGAAGCCATCTCAGGAAACTGTTGAGTCGTAATTTGGCAAGTCATTCTCAACCTGTGTAAACTGCAAGCACCAGTCATTCTCTTTTCTTCTACTCCTGTGATTAAAACACTCTCCCTTTTACTTTTTTCAGAGTTTTCTTTCTCATTCACGCATTCTTTGTCGTGGAGCGCCATTAACCGTTCTCTTTTCTTCTTTCTTCTGCTTTACTGTGCCAGTTTGACTGCTCCCGTCAGTTTCTGCGTCAGCTCACTGCCTCCGCGGCACAGCGTTTGGTGTTAAGAAATGGTTGTTTTGCAACGTGCGCAACGAAAGACTTTTTTTGTTGGAGCTTGCGAATGGAATGACCTAGCCTGAAAAGTTATTCATCCTACCTTTCTTTTCCCCTTTTCCTGTATTCTCCTTTTCAACTGCTAGAATTCAGCAGTTCTTCCGTTTTCTCGTTTTTCCCACCCGCCCAACCCTGAACTCCCCGCCCACCCAGCGAGGAAGCGTAAGGCGGGCTACCCACTTCGTAGAGTCTGTTGAATAGTTTGTTTTCTTTGCATGTATTTAACTATTGATATTTACAGTGTGTTGTAAAACCAAGAAAGAAAAATTTATGTAGTTCCCATGTTAAGCTTTGACCTGTTGGTAGGTGATGATTTGTAGGGTGTAGGTTATTCTCGTACTCATCGCCGTTACTTCTCTTCCTCTGTACCGTTATTCGTCTACTTCTCTCATTTATCATTGGGTCACCGTAAAGCTAACAAGACAAGGACGAAGCACTTTTTACCTTGGTCTTTCTGCGACCCTCAAAACAACTCATTTTTTCCCTTCTTACTTTCATTCCCTTTGTACGCCATGGCAGCTGAGGCTGCTGACGGCAACATCGTGGGCGGCGATGACGTCGGCATGCCAACTTTGGCTCGTCAGCCGGCAATCGATGAGCCCGGCTATGTCCACCCTGACTCCGCAGCGCTTTTCTCCGTCGTTCCGTGCGCAAGGGCGATCCCCATCTTCGGCAATGCAGTGGAGCCCTTCGGGCCCAAGTGCGTGACGTCGCTGGGCATGGTATACATCCTCAACAAAGGCATCGGCAGTACGTTGTTGACAACCGCCCAGTACGCGATGTTCATGAAGAAGTACGGTGTCACGACGGAGGTGTACCAGCGCATGTATGGCATCAGCTCCATGGGCTTCTCCATCAAGCCGCTCACCGCTGTCCTCAGCGACACCTTCTCCTTCTTTGGCTACACGAAGCGGTGGTACATGGCGCTCTCATGCATCGCCGGAGCCGTGTGCACTGTGGTGTTCGGCGTGTTGCCATTTAAAGAGTCGAGCGCCGGGATCGCAGGTGCGATGATCTTTCTATCCACGTTCTGCGTTGCAAATACCGACGTGCTGTCGGAAGGCCACTACAGCCGCCTAATCAAACGCCAGCCTGTCTCTGGTGCCGATCTCATTTCGTGGATCTGGGCTATGGTCATGATAGGTCAGATTATCGCCCCAGCCATCCAGGGACCGCTGTCGGACTCTGGCCGTCCTACCATCGGCATTTTCCTCTCCGCCGCTTTGCAGGCGGTGTGTGTGTTCTTCTTCCTCTTCAACTGGTACGGTGAGAAGAAGAACGTCGTGGAGCGCCGCGAGGATTTCGTATTTTTGCTGAAACAGGAGGCATTAAAGAAGCGGGAGACGGACCTGGAGCCCTTTAACAATAGCAAGGACGTGCCTGGCAACGCACCGGACAACGTGAAGGTTCAGCCGCAGTTTGGCAGTGAAGGCAGTTCTCAGGAGGGTGTCCCGAACGAGCTGGTTCAGTTTGGTGAGCTGGACAACGAGGCAGAGGAGGAGGAGGAGATGAACGTTGACTTCGAGGTGCCCACGTGCATGTGCGGCATTTTTGGCGTGAATAAAGAAGTCATTTTGCGCAACACCTCCGTCGCCATGTACGGGGCCATTCTCACTATGAGTGCCATCGCCTTAACTATTCTCAGCATTGTCGGCTCGACCTATCAGCTGCTGTACGGCTGCGTGGTGATCTCCATCGTGCTGTGCTCCACCGGCTTCCTCTGCATCCCGGTGACGATCATGAAGGCGAACTTCTACGGGTGGTGCCAGAATCTCTCCTACATCATTATCACCGGTGCGACAGACAACTTCTACATGGCAGACGCAGACTGTCTTCCTGATGGCCCCCATTTCTCGCAGACGTTCTACAACACCGTCGGCGCGGTCATCGGCAACGTTGCCGGCCTCTTCGGTGTGTACATGTTCTCGCGCATCTTTTCGAAGCAGAGCTACCGTGTCACTCTGGTTATCACCGTGGTGATCCAGGTTTTTGCAAGCGTGTTTGACATCGTCATCGTCGAGCGCTGGAATCTGTATATCGGCATTCCTGATCACGCGATGTACATCATGGGCGATGCCGTTATATACCAGGTGTGCTACATGCTGAACTTCATGCCGCTGAACATGCTGATCTCCCGTCTGTGCCCAAAGGGCTGCGAGAGCACGATGTTTGCCATCCTGGCGAGCTTCAGCAACTTAGGGTGTTCGACGTCGTCCGCGATTGCCGCGGTTTTGATGGAGACGGTGTGGCCGATCTGTTCTAAAGCCCCATGCGACTTCAGCAACTTGCGCTGGCTCATCATCACCGGTCACCTCATCACGCCCCTGCTCGTCATCCCGCTGGTGTTTGTCCTGATTCCCGGTGCCCGCATCTGCGACCCCATCGACCCGAAGGATGTGGAGGCCCTGTCCATCTTTCAGAAGTGGCTGAACAAGTTCGACGCCACGTCCAACACACCCGCTGCGGCACCGAAATCGGTCATCGCCTTGGAGGAACAATCTTAAGTAGGGTAAGCGAAGTGACTGTTTGTCTCCAGCTGCGTGTTTCCGTTTCGACACATCTTGCTCATTATTAAGGAAAGACAAATTTAAGTGGCAGGCACACAAACCCTGCCACAAGTTACATGTATGTACTGGAACCTATTTTTGTTACTTGACCTTTTTTTTGCACTTGAAAGTGTTCTTGTTCTGAGAGAAGATAAAACTGCTTATCTAAACGCAAAAAGTGTTTCAAAAGGAAAAGTGACACTTCACTCCGCTCTCGCAACGGGTGCTCCCTTGCTGCTTTATATGAACACTCTGTCAACTAAACGTTCAATACAAAGAATTTTTTTTTGTTTCAATAGTGAATCAATCAAAACGTTTTTTTTTTGTGTAATTTCATCTACGAAGTGCGACAGCGGAGACAACGTGTAACCTGTAGAAGACCTTTTTTACTTGCCTAGGATCGCGGAACGGTTCAAGCGTCCAAACATCACATCTAAAATTCATTTTCCTTTTGCTCTCCTTGTTTGATGATTTTATTTTTCTAAATGTGGTGCTAAAAGCATGTGTGCCGATACATTCTGCTGTTGCTCACTTGTAGGTTGCGTACGCTAACCTTGCTGACTCCCTTTCGAGTAGCCGCTGTGAGAATTCCGGCACATCGCAGTTTAATTATGCGACGAAAGCACACTGGCAATCGTGAGGCTCCAGAGAACTTTTTTCCCTGTAAAGTATCGAACCGGAAAACAGTCAGCTGAGCAGGCGCGGATGAACAAAACTGAACACGCGTGTGGACTGCGATGTGATGTATCCTCGCTGTTTTGTTGTGCCTCTGACCTCTTTCTTCTGGAAACGTTGCTTTTTTAGTTTTTATGTTTCAGTTCCCGAACGGTACAAATGCACGTCTTTCTTTTTCTCATTTGTTGTACACGTGGAAAAGTAAAAGTTGTGCATTCTAAATTCATTGATTAAAGAGTTAATATTACGACTAACTTCTTTGTTGCAAATTGAATTCGCGTGGTTAAGATGTTGAACAGTCAAAGAGGGGATGCTCTCACAGCTCCAGTGGCGCCATCGTGGTGCAGAATATCACGCGACACCAAACTCAAGTGTTGCGCCCTCCATTTATTAGATTCTGTTGCTTTCTTTGCAGCGAAAACTGCTGGGACTGTTTTCAATGCATGGTCGAGGCAAACACGGTTATTTCCCCTCTCCCTCTCGTTTCGCTATTCACATCTTCTTTCTTTTCTCGCCACATTTCTTTTCTTTTGCTTCTCCGGGTGTACCGTCGCAGATCAAGAAAGAAGCCGTCATTGTGCACACCTTTTCCCCCATCCTCAAGCTGACCCACGAACAGAGACCACACACACAGACACGCACACAAGTGATGGCACAACTATACGTGAACTACACAAGCCACGTGGAGAACGTTAACACAACTCTTCCCTACAACGCCGCAGATGCCGATGTTCGTGCATCGCTGTCGCGTCTGTACGGCGACGGTTTGTCGCAAGTGGTGAGTTTCATGGACCCGCAGTTCATCACCCGACATCTCCGAACCCTGAGTGCCGTGTGTCCGCAGATGAGACTGGACACGGAGGCGCTGACAAACAGAGCTGACGTTGGAGAGAACTGTCGTGGTGTCGTGATACAAGACAACCACCTGATCTACCGGATCGCATCGGTGAAACGCGATGTAACTCCAGAAAGGCTTGCGGAGTCGCTGTGGTGGGCGGATCGGTGCGGGCTGCCGCTGACTGTCACCGTCGGCAATGAGCGCAGAGACGTGCTGGCGTTTCTCACGGATCGTGTGCGAGACCGAGTGGAGGAGCTGCGCATTGAAGTCAACACAGAAGCTGCGAGCGTGC